GTGTTGCCCTCCTGGTACCATGTACCACGCTCCCCGGGGCAGCAGCTGCCTGTGAGGTGTCAGCTGGGAACCACTCCAGGGGAGCACACAAGGGCTTTTCCAGGCTGACACTAGGAGAAGATGCCCACCTAGACCTGGATGCCATGAACTCGGTGGATGCCAACTGGAGCCCAGCTGTGTGGGCAGTACAGGAGCCAGGGGGCTTCAGACCCTGCCCAGAACCACCAAGGAGTGGGGCAGCAGGCTCCAGGATCTGGACAACTAAGCACCATGTTATGACATGTGTCAGGTGCTCAGCAGAGATCTGGCCTCTCAGCAATTACTCAAAATGCTCTCATCAGAAATGAGCCTAAAGGAAGCCGCCAGGCTTGGGAGTTTGGACTTCATCCCAGGTAACGAAGGGCCTGAAAGTTCACAGTGGGAGGGGAGATGTGGGAGAAGGTGTTGCAAAAGCCTCCATCTGGGAGGACCTGGAGAGCCTGTGGCCACCATTCAGCAGGGATGCCCAGGCATGGGTGCTAGCCAAGACTGTGGGGCAGAGCCCCTTGAAGGGTGCATAGGAAAGACCCTCAACTGACCTAATCACCAATTAGGTGGATGGTGCAAGAGGAGACAGGGCAGAAGAGCAGGGTTACTACAGAGTTCTGACACGAATGAGCAGGAGCGGTGGGCACTGGCGGGGTAGGGGAGGTAGATGAGGGGCAGGGTCGAGGGAGGATGCAGACAGTCCTGGTCTCAGGCTCGGAGGTGTCAGGAACTTCAGGTCCACAGTTCAAAGATGGAGTTTGGGAGCACCTTGGTCAGAGGAGATAAGGGATGGTGTGGGCAGCAGCCAGGAGCTGGGCCATGTAGAGAAGAGGCGAGAGGGTCAATTCTGAGCAAGCTCATCTATGGAGGAGAACAGAGGCAGGGCTAGCAAAACAGGAAGAACAAGGGGGAGGGTGCTGCAGGAGAGGCCCCTGCGTCAAAGGCTGGTGAGAGCCCAGGAGAGATGGCCAGGAAGCCAGTGTGCACCCTGACAACAAGCACAAGGTTGGGGCCTTGGCAACCTGTGTTGGTGAGGGTGGGGACTGGACAGCAGAGACCTAGGAAGGGGGTCACTCAATCACTCCAGGATCCTCCTGGACAAACTCGTGTGAGAGGGAAGACAGAGATTGGCTTTCAATCCACAGCAGGAGCAGGAGGGACGAAGAGGCTAGAACCAGAGTCCTAGGGGATGAAGGATGCCATAAGTAGAGGAGAGAGGAACAGGCAGGAGTCTAAGAAAAAGATGGAGTCGGAGACGCCAACACCCATGTTACCAACAGGTTTGCAGCTCTGTTCCTGTGGCACTTTGAACAGGCCTCTAACACCTCTAAGACTCAGGACAAAGGAGGTTCAGTTCGTGACCCCTCACCCTTGTTCTCTACCAGGCATGACAGAGACCAGTCCTGATGTGCTGGAGTCTGCCTGTCTTGGCCAGTAAGAGCTGATTATGAAAGTTTCAGAGTCTTGCAAGTCGACTGTTAGCTCAGCTACCATCAAAATCAAACTAGATAAGCTTACAATTAAGTAAATTGTATTAACAGAAGTCTTAAGTTCTCAGTGCATACATCTGTAAATATCTGTGTGGTGGAATTACTATGTAATGGTGTGTGCCTGCGCGCATCTCCTCCCCAATGTCAAAGAAAGACAGAGAGATGTTGGGGGCATCATACTGAGAGCCTGAAGTAGCCACACAGAGAGCATTTATACCACAGAAGCACACGGACGGACGAGAGAGCTTCTTACAAAACCCTCATCAGGAGCCTGGACAGAGATCCTGGAATTCCTGTGACTCCTACACACCCACCAAAGCCTCATGGTG